TGCATCTTGTAGACCCTTTTGTGGTTTTGTGTCACGTTTTGTGTGAGTCAGTGACAGCTGAACAGAGTAGAGTAGAGTAGAGTAGAGTAGAGTAGAGTAGAGTAGGGGAAAGGAAAGGAAAGGAAAGGAAAGGAAAGGAAAGGAGAATTGGTAGCCCATAAAAACTAAATTAGTACTGTGTGAATAAGCATGAGCAAAGGAGAGGAAAGGAAAGGAAAGGAAAGGAACGGAGAATTGGTAGCCCATAAAAACTAAATTAGTACTGTGTGAATAAGCATGAGCAAAGGAGAGGAAAGGAAAGGAAAGGAAAGGAACGGAGAATTGGTAGCCCATAAAAACTAAATTAGTACTGTGTGAATAAGCATGAGCAAAGGAGAGGAAAGGAAAGGAAAGGAAAGGAAAGGAAAGGAAAGGAGAATTGGTAGCCCATAAAAACTAAATTAGTACTGTGTGAATAAGCATGAGCCTTGTGGATGTGCCTCAAAATTATAGCCTATACTAATTGTTCATTGAATTTTATTGGAGAATAAATTTTTAATTGTCCATAATCATGTCTGAATGTGTGAGTCAGTGACAGCTGAGTAGAATAGAGGGAGAGAGGAAAGGAAAGAAAAGGAAAGGTGCATTGGTAGCGCATGAAAACTAAACTAGTACTGTGAGAATAAGCATAAGCTTTGCTGATATACCTCGAAATTATATCCGATACTAATTATTCATAGAACATTATTGGAAAATAAAGCATTAATTGTTCATAATCATGTCTGAATGAGTAAGGCATTAACATGCCATCCCCATGCCAACTGGAGAAGAACTGATAAGAGAGGAGATTCCATTCACTCTCAGAATGCCCAGTTCATCATTTTAGAATGGTGGCATTTAAATTATATTGATCTATCCACAAAATTAACTTGGAAGAAAATAAGGCATTTCTGATCTATATCTCTGTTGTTTTTGTTGTAGTTTGTAAAGTTATATCTGACTGGTCAATGAAAATAAACTTTACTAACTCTGATTTTCTTTCCACCATAGTAGGAATGTGTTCCTCTAACTAAAGCATGAAAGTGACCCATTGCTTTTAAAGTAGATGTTTTCATAATGTTGCCTTCAACCTTTTCATCACTAAGTGATGCATTTATAAAGTACAACTGTATTGCTTAATGATGGCAACCTCTGCAAGGACAGTTGACATCATTAACTGAATCCCACAGTTGTTAGGTGAGGCAACTTCCTGCTAGCTTCCCACAACCAAAGTCAGTGGGGAAGCCAGCACGAGGTTGCAAGTCCCAGGCCCACAGGCATGTAAGTGGCTGCTGCTGGGTGGGGGAGGGAGCAATAGGGTGTTCTAGAGGTGCCACTCAGGTCAGGGAAGGGTGCACAGGGGTGTGCAAGTGTTTGGCACAATAGAAGTACAGAATGGGGGAGGGTGCGCAGGTGGGGGAGACTTACCCCACCAACTTGCAATCTTTCTTGCCAGCTTCTTCATGGGAAAGCCTGCAGGGAAGTTTGGAAATGGCGATCATGTAATTGTGGGGTGCTTGTTAACCAATCATAACCCAAATGAATTGCCAAGCCCCAAGATCATGATCACAAGATGTGTTGCTGGCACTCTAGCCTTAGCAGTACCTTTCCTTACACTTTTCCAAATTTCTGCATATTTATGTTCATTTTCAAAAGCTTTCTTTTGTTTAGTTTATGTTCTCCAATGCTTTCCACAGAGTGTTCTTGATAAGATTTGTTTTATTCACCTTTTCCCCCTCTTTGCAACAGATCTCAGATTGAAAAGAAAAAAGCTGCATTCCCATCATTAGATATTTTGCTGACTCCTTTATTAAAATAACTCCCATTGCTAGGGAACTTTCAAGCATTTAGATCATATCTTCTATTTTACTTAACTTGTTTGGACAATGTTGTAAAATGACCAGATTTTTTCTATTCCATAGTAATTTTGGCTGAGAAATTTTGGTGAAAATGTTCTTCCTGTGACAAGTCCATTCAATCATTATTTTACCTTGCCTACGCTAGAAAGAATGATTTTAAATTTCACAGCAGGGTAACTCAATGTAATTCCAAAGAAATATATCAATATATGTACATAGAAATATTGGCCTATGCATTGTGGTACAGAGAAGCCATTCCAATTAAAGTTGGCAGTTCAGAGAATTAGTTTCAAGGCACCAATGCTCCCTTAAGAGATATCCATTGAAGACTCATGAATCACATATTATTTTCCAGTTTCTCTCCAGAACAAATGCAGTTGAAAGAAAATAAATAAACACTAATAAAGAAATTAGTGATTTCAAATATCATCGCTGTCAAGTGCCCACCCTTAAGAATTGGTATCTCTTCTCTAATATGTCTAAAATGGAAGGCATACATTTTATGGTGTTTTATGAAAGGCATCAAGATAATTTGTAATTTTTTTTTTCATAAGGTACAACTGGTGTGCCAGTTGCACTCCTTCCTTGATTGGGAGTCCCTTCAGACAGTCACTTCGGCCCTGGTCACCTCACATTTGGATTATTGCAATGCGTTTTAAATAGGGCTGTCCTTGAAGACTACCAGGAAGCTACAGTTGGTTCAAAATTCAGTGGCACGAGCAGTGATGTGCCTATACCTACGAAGAACAGAATCTTGCAAGCCAAGGTATTCCCTGTGACACTCTATGGAAGTGAAAGTTGGACTTTAAAGAAGCAGGATAGGAGGAGTATTTATGCTTCTGAAGTATGGCATTGGAGAGGACTCCTGAGAATATCATGGACAGCCAAGAAAACAAACCGATGAATCATTGAACAAATCAACCTAGAATTCTCACTCAAGGCACAAATCAGCAGGCTCAAATTATCCTACTTTGGACACATTACGTGAAGATCCAGCTCTCTGGAAAAGGCTTTAATGCTGGGAAAGGTAGAAGGAAAAAGAAGAGGAGGATGACCGGCAGCAAGGTGGATAGACTCAGAGAGGCAATGAGCGCACAGTTGGGAAACATGAAATAACAGTTTAGGGATAGATCGTCTTGGAGAAAATTTATCTATGTGGTCACTAGGAGTTGAAAATGAGTTGATGGGACATAATCAATCAATCAATCAATCAATCAATCAAAACTCACCCTCTTGTGCAATGGGTGAACCTTAGAGAGTGACCTGGCATTAACCAGCAAGAGCTACACCCTCAGGCCACCTAAAGCTTGGTGACTGGGCATTGAGGATGAAGACATTGGACCCACATTCTCAGTGAATGGCCTGTCTTTTGACTCCCACAGTTCTTCCCATTGCCCATGAGCACCATGATTTTCCTGCCTGCCTCTGACCCAACCGATACACTAACTTCCACTGTCCCCCTGCCAACTTACCTCCCACCTCATCTGCAGTCACTCCTAGTACACTCACAGTAGACTGGATAGTCAGCACCAAGAAGCTTCAGATTACTGTTGAGCACTCAGCATTCTAAGCACAATCCAGCAGTTCCTTCCCTCCTCTAAACTTGTTCACCTCCCCCACAAACCAGCTACAGGAATTAGTTCACCTCCCCCACTACCAAACCACAGCTTAACCCAGGGGAAACTAAGTTAAACACAGCTTAACTTAGCTAACTAACAGCTACGGCAAGGCCTCATCCCCTCTTCTATCTCCTACATAGACTTAGATTTCTGTGTACTGCAGAGGGCAGATGGACTGTGCTTACAGAATGTCTATAATAAGGCAATTATGTACCCGTTCCATGACTGTCAACCACAAGCATGTTTCTGGATATGGGGTTAAGTGTTTGAAGACTCAAGATATATTGACATATGCTGCATGAAGTCTGAAAGGAAGGTCTGCATTTTTCTACTTACCTTAGAATTTTTTTTTTATTAATCACTCCAGTGTTAAATAAACAATGGTTTAGCATAATGTATGAAACAAGCTCCAGTAATTCAATCTGCCACCTGAGTTCCTTGTTTTGATCTTAAAATTGTTTGACACTGGGAATGCATGACAAAAATATCCTTATAGATATTTGCACATAATTAATTTCTGCTTTAGTTTTGTTCTTAATGGAAGGCTACTTCCATTAAGCAGAAACCAGGAGCTCATGTTAACTTCTTTTATTTTTAGGTTTGTGGGCTAAAAGTAGATTGTCTTATCTGATTCTGATACCAGATTTACTAATGACATATGGTACCCAGGATGCTGCTAAACCAACTCCAAATATCTTAAAAATCAGGATCAGTAACTAGGGATATAGGATTGTAAGTCATCACCTTCTCAAGCACTACCATTAGTCCAGAGCAGCAAGGCTCTACTACTCTTGTCTTCTATCTTTTATTTCCTCAGAAAAACCAAGGCAAGAAATGCAATAAGTTCAATGTGAGGAAAAAGAGGATAGAAAACATCACCAAAAGAAAATATTAGAATCTCCATAATTTAGACAGGACAGATTTGATATTCTTATTTCTTATGCTATAGATGATTGGATTGAACAGGGGTGGAAGCAAAGAATATAGGGCAGTTAATGATAAATCTAAGTAAGATGAGGTGTTAGAGGGAGGTCTCAGATAAGCCAAGCATCCAGATACCAAAAACATAGAAAAGACTATAAAATAGGGAAAACAAGTAGAGAAGGTCTTCTGCCTTCCTTTCACAGAAGGGATTTTCAA